GGGGGGGAATCAACTTTAGGACTGATTTCCAGCTTTATTTTTCTGCTGGGCTAGTACTAGCTCTGATTTTGCCCAGGAAATAGCACCAGGACTAAGGTAGTGGTGGAGGATTCATCAGAACATCAGACACTTCTGGTGCAGGCCAAGGGTCCCTCTCCTCTAGGATTCTGTTCACACAGAGTGGCCAAACAGTTGCCCAAGGCAACACACAAGTGGTACAGCACCCTCCCCTCCATGTTCCCCAGCAGCTGGTGTCCATATGGGCCTATTTCCTTAGAACCATCAGGACTAGTAGCCACGGATGGTCTTCTCCTCCACGAATTTGACCAATCCCCTTTGAAAGCCACACCAATGGGTGGCCATCCAGCAGAAGTGAGTTCCATAGTCTGACTGTGTAAAGAAGCACTCCCTTCGGTTTGTTCTGGATCGCCCACCAAGCTGGCATTCTGGGAGAGGGATAAAAATGCCCCCCTTTCAGTTTTCTCCACACCACGCAGAGTTTTGTACACCCCGTCCTGTTTCTCCTTGCCTAGCTTTTCCCTAAATTAAACTGTGCCAGATGTAGTGACCTTTATAGGGAAGTGGAAACAGAATTAGGTTTTACAAAGGCATGAATGGTATAATGAAATATGGAATATGGTAATTAATGATAAACTGATGACAGAAATGACAATTAAAAAGGGTTAATGAAAGCAAATAAATGTAATGAAATTTGGGAAGATTTTATAAAAGCAGTACTGATAGAAGGCAAAGGCTGTAAACCCAGTCAAGCTTGTATGACTTTCTGGAGGGGATATGGATATAATTGAAGTATATTATATATTATTCATTATTATAAGGTGTGAATGGTGGTAGTATTGGTCTCCGGGGTGGTGGGGGCACTTTATCATTTATTCTTTTTTAGTTATTGTGTTCCTGTTATTTTATATTATCATTGTTGTGAAGTATTGTATTTATGATTTTTTTTCTGTCTAAAAAAATAAAAAAAGGGGGAGAAAAAAAAGAAAAAAAAAACCTTTAGAGGGAAGTAGCTCCAATCCCTTGCTCGTTTTAGTTACACTTCTCGGCACTTTTTCCAACTCTACAATATCCTTCTTTAGATGCGATGACCAGAATTGTATCCAGCATCCCGCTGCCACACCACAATGTAGCTGCACCACAAATCTGTTCAAGGAGGTGTACAATTCTGATCATCTCCCAACCCCATTGTCCCTCTTACCTGCATTCCAACCTCAGCATTTGAAGCTTTTCTCATACAAAAAACTGAAATTTATTTTAATTAATTAATCCATTTAAAGTTTTTATATGCTGTCTCAATACTAAAAGTCTCTGGATGGCTTATGAAAAACAAACAAAAAAATTGAACTGATCTAGTGATCAGTTGAACTGCTCTACAGGTTTGGGGTCTCAAAGTAAGTTATTTTCAGACAAGTCAACCCTCTACACCTTCAGCATCTCCTGCTTCCAAATGATTTTTCCCTCAATAAAGACTTGTAGGTTGCTGTACCTTTAGAAGCGACTGATCTTTTCCACCCTCCTTGGCTCCGGAGAGGTTGAATAGCCACCAGGCTTTGGCCCTGTTCCTCTCCAAATTTATAACCTTCCGAGTGCGGCACAAAAACAGCTTTTGGCAATGTGAGGCTGCAGAGGTGGGAACCTGTGAAGCAGAACCACAAGGGGGTTTGTTAGGACGTGCCAATCCTTTCTGGAAAGTTCTGAACTTTTGTGCAAACAACATCACGCTTCTTCCCTTGGTACCCACAGGAAGAGTAAACAGATTACTCTGCAAACTCAGAAGATCAAAGACTGGTGTAATTCTTCAGTCTGAATTCTCCGTTGTCTTAATAAAAGATTCTGTGCCATTATGTGGTGTAGTGGTTAAGAGCATTGGACCGGGACTCAGGCGATCTGGGTTCTAGTCCCTGCTCAGCCATGGAGCCAACTGGGTGACTTTGGGCCAGTCACAGACTCTCAGCCCAACCTACCTCACAGGGTTCTTGTTGTGGGGATAAGATGGAGGAGGAGATGTAAGCTGCCTTGAGCCCTTTGTAGGAAAAAGGCAGGATATAAATCAATCAATCAATCAATAAATAAAATGTTGGCTGGAAAAAGTTATGGGGGAATTTTAAAAATGGCACTCCCCCTTCCCATTTCAGTTATGCTGTAGCAGTCTTTCCCGAAGTGATCCAGAGATGTTGGCCATGGGGGGCTGGTGAATGGGGGTCAGTGGGGCAGCGTATCCACTTGGAGTGTCAGTCTGAACTTTTAAGGAGCTGTCCATGGTTCTGAATTCTATGCCTAAAATAGGTTGCATGTGGAATTATTACTTCCACCATCTGGTTAAACAGCTGGTGGGGGATGAAAGGCATTGTAGTCCAATACCATCTGGAGGGGACCAGGTTGGGAAAGGCTGCCCTGTATCTCCCTAAAAGCAATAGTTAAAATTCAGCCTGAGCTTGAATGGGTAGGTCCTTTCATTTGAATCATTTTTTCTTTTCCTGATGTTGGAGGTTGTTGATGACAATCATTTATGTTCATAACTTGCTTTTCTCCAAGGATCTGGAGGTATCTTACATGGTTGTGCCCTTGCATTTTCATTTTTTTCACAACCACCCTATGAGGTAGGTTAGTCTAAGCATTCGAGGACACCTAGAGTCTCTTGTAGCTGAGTGTGGATTGAAACCTGGATTTCCCCAGGCCGTGTTCTCTAGCCCAAGGCTGGAGAAGCTGTGGACCTTCAGATGTTGTTGGGCAACAAGTGCCATCATCCCTGATCATCAGCCAGGCTGGCTGGGGCCAATGGGAGTTGGAGTCCAACAGAAACCTTTCAGGGGACCACAGGCTTCCGAGCATTGCCCTAACCAATCTAAGCTCCACTGGGTTAAGTGGCAACGTTGGAGAAAAGTAATTCACAAAAGGAGCAGCCTGAGAGGAAAAAATTGCCTTCTGTCTTCAGCAACCAAAAATGAAACAGGCATTGAATGGCCATTAGGGGGCAGGCAAGAACCAGGAATGTGCCTCGATCATTTTGTCCTAAATAGCAGGATGTTGACAATGTGCTTAAGTCTGTGTAGGTGTGATGAATGTGAAGACAGAGCCACAGTATTAAGATCTAATACATTCCTTAACGCCAACCAAATTTCAAACATAAGCCTGAGCCATATGACATCCGCAGAAGGGATCAGAAAGAACAAGCTGTTCTTCTTGGATTAACATGCTACATGTGGATGTCCTTTGGTCCCTTGACCGAAATAGTTATGGATTCCATGATGAGCCATTTCAGTTCATCTAGGCTGCACTTCTGTGCTTCCTTATTTGGCAACATGCCCATTAAACTCAATGGCACTTCTCAGAAGGCATGTCTATGAAAGGTCCAGATAGCAGCTTTGATGGTGACATCAGCTGTGGAATTCTGTGCTGGTCTACTCAGACGTTAATCCCACTGAGCTCAGTGGGGCTTACTCAGGGGCAAGTGAGGTTGCAGCCCTAAAGAGACAGATCTGTTGTAAATCCTGCAGGTGGACCAGGTGCCTTCTCTACCAGGCCACCAGGGGGAGCTGCATCAACTCTGCTGGTCTCTCTCTCTCAATACAGCCAATTCAAAAATCAATCATGCCCTGCATACAGAATAACCAAGGATGATGTCTTCTTTCTGCTTTAAGAGGCAGGGAGGATCAGGGCGAGGAGAAGCCATCCGGTGGTGATGGGGGTTGGGGTGTGCTGACCCCAGTGGAAGCAGCTGGGCTCTTTGTGGCAGCTCAGGAAGGAAGGTCTCTTTCAGCTACTCCTCTCCTCCTACTGATCAGATGCACGAACTTGTAGAAGAGTTAGATGCAGCTGTGTGTCCTCCACATTTCAGGCAGGCAAACGGCCTCTGGCTGCTCTCATCCACCTTCGCAAAGATGTCCTCCATCATTCTCTGCATTATCCTTGGTGAGCCAGCCTTGGAAGTCCATTGTCATCTATTGCTGATGGGAGGTGGTCTTTGGGGTATTAAACAGAATTCTTGTCCTCCCCATCACCCAATCCTTTAGCCAGGTTGTGTGTGTGTGTGTGGGGGGGGGGAGAGTAGGTTTGCAGAGCTTTTAAAGTCAAAAGTGCAAACTTTTAAAAAATTGTTAAAAAATGTACAGCAAACAGAACATGTCTGTGAAATTAGGATCAAGACCTGGCATCCGCCTCCGACTGCTCCGCCAAGGGAGACTCGGTTGGTGTCAACAAGGAGAAGGGCCTTTTCAGTGGTGGACTCCCAGTTCCGGATTAATTTCTCCAGCTGAGTCAGCCTGACACCAACATTATTTTTCTGGTGCCAGGTTAAGACTATCCTCTACCATAGGGCATTGAATTTATTTACTGGGGTTTTATTACTTGCTAAATCAAGTCCTGATATTTACCTAGACTAAATTATTGGAATTTTTACATGAGTTTCAAATTTGGTTTTGAATTTTGTATGGCAACTTTTGTAAAGCAATGTCTTACAATATGGTATATTTTAGATCGTATTTTAGTGGATCGGTGTGAACCACCTAGAGACTTTGGCTATTGGGCAGTACAGAAGAAAAAATAAATGCATAAATGGGGGTAAGCACCCCTTGGCTACCCCTTGTTACAACCTTGCCCCATCACCCATTCAAATTTTTCATAGAATCATAGAATAGTAGAGTTGGAAAGGGCCTGAAGACCACTGGTCCTGCCTGCTGCTATTTAATCAAAGATATCTCAGATTGAACCTGGAATACGAAACACCTATTCTCCCATCTTCTTCCTCTGGTTCTCTTTCCATAGTTTCTCCAGCCCTGGTCATGGGCCAAGTCTTCCAACCCAAGCAACTGGTTTACACAGAAGGAGACGAGATCTCAATCAACTGCACTCAGAACGCCACCAGCCATGACTACATGCTTTGGTACCAACAGAAATCCCAAGGGGATGGCGGCACCCTGAATTTGCTTGGATATAGCTTTGAAGGAAGCTCTCTCCCGGCAGGAGATTTCAACATGGATGTGGTCAGAGCTTCTCGCTTCACCAGACTCACCAGAAAGGTGACGAGACTGAGCGACTCTGGCGTCTACTTCTGTGCCGTGAGAGACACAGCGAATGGAAGCAGCCACCGGCAGTGCAAAATCTCCCAGCTCATGTTTTTGAGGTAGATCAAATCTGGCGGGGGTGGGGGGGGGAGCCTGCTATGCCAAAAGGAATCAGCAGATGGATCCCCCTTCCTGCCCCTGGGCAAATCCCTTTCCCCCCTTGCCTAGGTGCTGTTGTATGCCTGGAAAAGTAGCCAGCGAGGATCTTTTGGGATCAGCTGCTGAGGAAACTTCATCTTTGCCTGTCTGCTTGCAACCTCGACTCTTGAGATGAGTAAAAATGTTTCTGTTGCAGCCAGTGTGGTGTGGACAGCCAGTGTGGTGTAGTGGTTAAGAGCATGGGACTGGGACTCAGAGGATCTGGGTTCTAGTCCCCGCTCAGCCATGGAGCCAGCTGGGTGACTTTGGGCCAGTCACAGACTCTCAGCCCAACC